TGTGGACAGGGAAAGCTCCCTCGTTGGCACATATCAAGGTTTGGGGTTGCGAGGCTTTCGTAAGACGAGATACTCACGACAAGCTTGAACCTCGAAGTGAGCGATGTATTTTCATCGGCTACCCGCAAACATCCTTTGGATATCTCTTCTATAGACCGAAAGACAATGTTGTCTTTGTTGCGAGGAGAGGAGTTTTCCGAGAGCGAGAACTCATAAGCCAAGGAGACAGTGGGAGGCAAATCGAACTTGAAGAGATTCAAGAATCGATAGATGAAGGAACCTCTACCGCTGGCATTCAACCCGAGGAGGAAACTCCGGTTGAACCGATTGACGAATCCTTACCTCTTAGACGTTCCGATAGAGTTAGAGTTCATCCCCAGTTTTATGGTTTTCATATTACTACCGAAGGGGACACGTATATTAGTGATGGTACACTAGTAAATCTTGATGAACCTAATAGCTATAAGGAAGCCATGGCAGGCCCGGAGTCTGCGAAATGGAAAGAGGCAATGGATAGCGAGATCCAATCCATGTACGATAACCAAGTTTGGAATTTGGTTGATTATGTGCCCGAACGTAAGACCGTTGGGTGCAAATGGATCTTCAAAAAGAAGACCGACGTGGATGGGAACGTACACACATATAAGGCGCGATTGGTCGCGAAGGGCTTTACTCAAACTCCCGGAGTTGACTATGATGAGACCTTCTCACCAGTTGCGAAGATTAAATCTATTAGAGTGATGCTAGCAATTGCCGCATTTCATGATTATGAGATTTGGCAAATGGATGTCAAGACCGCTTTCCTTAACGGAAAGTTGGCTGAGGATGTTTACATGGCTCAGCCAGAGGGGTTTGTGGATCCGAAGCATCCGAATAGAGTGTGTAAGCTTGAGAAGTCCATTTATGGACTTAAGCAAGCGTCTCGCAGATGGAATCTTTGCTTCGATGAGAAAGTCAAAGAGTTTGGATTTGTACGAAGCGAAGACGAATCTTGTGTATATGTCAAAGCCAGTGGGAGTATAGTAAGCTTTCTCGTTCTATATGTCGATGACATATTACTCATAGGAAACAACATCCCGACTTGCAGGAAGTCAAGTCCTGGCTCGGGAAGTGTTTCGCTATGAAGGACCTCGGAGAGGCTTCTTACATTTTGGGAATAAGGATAGTAAGAGAAAGAAGTAAGAGACTAATTGGACTTAGTCAGAATACTTACTTAGAAAGGTACTAAAACGTTTTAGTATGGAAAACTCAAAGAAGGGAGAATTACCGATACAAGGAAATGCCAAGTTGAGTAAGACTCAAAGTCCGAGTACCGAAGCTGAGATAGCAGAAATGAGCCGAGTACCATACGCTTCCGCAGTTGGCTCAATCATGTACGCTATGACTTGTACTCGCCCTGATGTAGCCTTCGCTTTGAGCATGGTTAGCAGATACCAAGGGAACCCTGGCAAAGCACATTGGATTGCGGTGAAGAACATCCTTAAGTACCTTCGGAGGACGAAAGAATGGTTCTTAGTCCTTGGAGGGAGTGATGACTTGAAGGTGCGAGGGTATAGTGATGCCAGCTTTCAGACCGACAGGGACAACTACCGTTCGCAGTCGGGCTGGGTCTTTACCCTAAATGGAGGAGCAGTGACATGGAAAAGTTCCAAGCAGGAAACCGTAGCTGATTCAACGTGCGAATCAGAGTACATTGCAGCGAGCGAAGCGTCGAAGGAGGCAATATGGCTAAAGAACTTCATTGGTGATCTTGGAGTTGTGCCGGCCATAAAGGAGCCCATGGAGATTTTCTGTGATAACGAAGGTGCGGTTGCCTTGACCAAGGAACCGAGGGATCATGGTAGATCTCGACATATCGACAGAAAATATCACTTCATTAGACATCGTGTAGAAGAAGGACAACTCGTAGTGAAGAGGATATCATCAGAAGATAACCCAGCAGATCCGCTTACGAAGGGACTGAGTAGGGTTAAGCACTTGCAGCATGCTAGGAGTATTGGGCTGAAGGATGATATTAGTATAGATTATATAGTGTTAGAAACGTATAATAGATAAATGTAATTAACATTTGATGATTAAATAAAGGAGTTTTATTTATGAGTAAAGTTACTGTCACATGTTAATTGTTTAACTATTGTTTCACTTTGCATGTTTTGACTTCCAGAATAATTGAGTTTATTAGGAATAATCGAATTATTCAAATGGTCCACAATCGTTCATATGTTGGGAGTAGATATGAATGAAGATTGTCATGAATTGGTGTGTAGAATGTCTAAATGGTGTTAGACATAGCAAGGGTTGCTGCAATGTTCATGAGTGCTTATGAACTGCTTTTGAGCATTGGAATAAACTCGCGCTTGCTGGAATCACCTTATGGAATACGATATAAAAGGTGATCGCAAGACGATAATATCATATAGTCTTAAAACCTAGATATATGGTTTATTATTTGTTAATTGATTGTACATTGATATTTGCGAAAACGCATCAGTAACTCGGTGTTATAAAACGCATTGTTGTGTATAGTTGGTTAATGAATAAGTAAATGCATATAAGTCGAAGTTTATCTGTAACTTTTATCTAAGAAGGTAAAAGCGATATCTCGGCCGCTCGATGATTTGATTTGACTTATGTGTCGGGCCCGGTCAGAACTGAATTGATGTGTTTGATTAAGTTCTATGTCAAATAAATCAGAGATCGAGAAACCTAAATGCTTGACTAACCATTCCATAGGATTGTCGGCATGATATCTAACAGAGGACTGTACGATCCCCCTATCTAAAGGACAAGACTGATTAGATCAGAGTTGACAGCGTCTTTGAGAGCTATGATTGCAAACCGAATTGTACTTGTATAGTTACTAGACTTATCCAAGTAGGAGACTGTTGGAATAGTGTCTAAGGCTGCAACTATATTAGGCAAGTATTTGATCCGGTTGTGCATGGTCCTTTTGGGTTGCCTTCACCATAGCAACTTGATGGATGATTTGTTAAAAGAGAGTAAATATTATAAGGAATAATATATGGTTATTTGATTAATATAAGTCATAGATTAATTGGAATTAATTTGGTGACTTAAAGAGATTAATTAAATAAAGGGGTTTAAACTGTCAATTGTTTGATAGTTAAACTTTAGACTATAAATCCATTGGGATATGCTTTGGACGAATTCTATGAGATATAGGATAGCTAAAATCGTCCAAAGGCTTATCTATGGAATGGATTTGGATAGCCTTAAGAGAAGATTATCCAATTAGGGTTTAGGTTGTAACCCTCAATGAGTCTACAAGTATAAATAGACCCTAGGGGTGAGGGAATTCGACACACCATAAAAAGTAGAGATACTCTGGCCAAATTCCTCCCCTCTCCTCTCTCCTAAATCATCTTGCTTGCTATTGGTGTTTGTAAGCCATTAGAGGAGTGACATTTGTGACTCTAGAAGCTCCAAGACAACAAGATCAACAAGGAACTCAAAGGTATGATTCTAGATCTGTTTCAATGTTGTTATTTAACCTAATTAGCCATTAGAAGTCTTGGATTCAAAGCATGTTTAATTAGAAAGCCTAGATCCAAGCGTTAGGGTTTTGCATGCGCACATAGGAAAGTTCTTATGGCTAAAACCCATCAGATATATGTTAAGTAAACTTGTATTTCCATGCAGTAAAGGAAATGAAAAGGTATTGAGATGGGAAAAAACGACAGCTCTTTTCAAAGTAACAATAGGACATGTTGGCCTGAACAGAAAAAGAAACACAAAACTAGAGGTGTTCTTTTGCTTTGTTTTTAGTAGGCCTTGTCTAATTTGAATGAAACACAGAAAGGCGACATAAAAACCATTATATTTTGACTATTTTTGTGTTTCAACCACCTTCAGTTGGGCTAAAGAAAGCCGCCTAATTTTAATAATTTTTTCTATCTCATCGACTTTAGGTTGTGTTTGGCGCGTCACAGTTAACTGATAAGTTAGCTTATTTTTCGAGCTTTTTTAAATTGTCATGTTTGGCAAATCAAAAAGTAGTTGATAAGCTAACTTTTTAAAAAAGCTACTTTGAATAGCTTTTTAAAAATTTCCCAAATATACCCTGATTTAATTACAAAAAACATATTCTTTTAAATGTTCTTTTATGTCATTTCATATCTTTCAGCTAGCTTATCAGTTACTTTTTACCAAACGTTATTTTTTGCCAGCTAGCTTATAAGATAGCAGCTAACTTTTCAATTATCAACTAGCTTTTCAGCTACTCGCTAGTTTTTCAGCTAGTCAGTCAAACATAACATTAACATAGAAATGATTGTCAAGGCTGTTACAATAGAAAATTTTGCCAGATTTTAGGTTGTGTTTGGTGCGCCACAGCTAGCTGATAAGCTAGCTTATTTTTCGAGTTTTTTTATGTTGTCGTGTTTGGTAAGCCAAAAAGTAGCTTATAAGCTAGCTTTTTGAAAAGCTACTTAGACTAGCTTTTTTAAAATTTCCAAATACACCTCTTAATTAATTATAGAAACACATATTCTTACATGTCCTTTTATGTAATGTTATATATTTCAGTTAGCTTTTCAACTAGTTTTACCAAATGTTATTTTTTATCAGCTAGCTTTTCAGCTATCAGCTAGCTTTTTATTTAACAGCTAGTTTTTCAGCCATCAACTAGCTTTTCAGCTAACAGCTAGCTTTTCAGCTAGTCCGCCAAACATAACCTTAGTAGCTTTGTGTAATATTTAGTTTCAAAGTTTTCATTAAAGTCATTAAATTTGATAAATTTTCAATTGTAACAACATTAATATGCCATAGCAAGTCATGATGGTCTCACTCAAAAATTATTTTCGAACTTGTATGAGTTTTCATTAATGAAATTGAAATATATTTGGAAACCATCAAAAATAACAAAAAAAAATATCGGATGCCTGACACTCGTCTAGCAAACTATAGGAAGTCAACACCTAATTCTATAAATAAATAAATAAATAAAAAAGAAACCTATATTTACACTCCAGACCCAAAAATTAACACAAAAGATAACTCCGATTACTGTAAAAATCATCAGTTTCATCATCACATTCACAAGCAATTTCAAGAGCAAGCCCTAATTGATCATCAAGATACCTCTCCAGCAGATTCCATTCCACCACCACCACCACCTGTCCAGCTCCTTCCACATCCAGCGGCGGACCTGATTTCAGCCGACAACGCTTCCGGCCGCGCCGGCAGAATCGGAAGCAGATTTCAACGGCACACAGGAAAGGAAAAATCGCGCATACGATCGGGATGAGCAAAGGCAAGCAGAGAGCTAGAATCAAGTACCTTAACCGACGTCCATTCAGCCACGATGTCAACAGCAAAGCCATCGCCATCGTCGGATTGTGTAATTCGTCATGGTCGTCTTCCTTGGTGATCAAAAGGGGTTTTTGAGAATCGTTTTCGCACTTCAATTTGGGTCTAGTGGAGCAACAGAAGAAGAAATTGTTGAACATTATTTGATTGGAGAAATTGGGCGGTTGATGATCTAAGCATAAGCATGGTTGGAATGTTTGGGAGAAGGGATTAAATAATTCATAATTGATTGCATCTTTTAAAGCCCCATATGAGTTGCTGTACACATGCTAACATGGGATCCCCACATGCCAACTATACTTCCATATTTCATATTTCGGTAACATATTTAAAGAAAAAAGAATTCAGTAATGATAACTGCTAAATTAGCTAATTGCATATTGCAAATTTGGAACCACTGAAAACTATGATAAATATACACGTTGTAAATAATTAAATTCTTTTATATTTATCTTAGTTCAGACGTAGTAAACCTTTTTTGCGTATTTTTTCCATAAAAAAATTGAATATTTTGGTCTAAAAAAATTTAAATGGTGCAAAACAAATTAAATATAAACCCCTTCAAAATAGGTATATAATTTTCACATTTATACCATATTCTTAGTCAGTTAGTCCTAATCTAGTTTTACTAATAGAAATGATCAATCGGAAATAAATGGTCTTTTCTATAAATATAATATTAAGATTTATGTATAAAATATCATGCATAGCGGTAACATGCACCTATATAACCTATGTTTTTTCTCTTACTGATAACCAATTACTAGCCTCGTACTTACAGGCCCATGAACATGCAAACTTGTCTCATTTTATTTTATTGTTGGTAAACATATTATTTTTTTTAAATCTTAAATTTCATTAAACATAAAATAAAAGTACTAACACATAAAAAAAACATCAAAGTTAAATTACAAACCTAGAAATTTAAAAAACGAAAACATGAAAAAATTAAAAAAAAATGAAAACTAGATATTATATTTTTTTTGCAAGCTCCTATTTGGCTTTTATTGTCATTCCCCTTCACGTCCGGATAGCTCGCTTGTGTTTTTCATTAAGATGGGCATGACATGAGTTTTTCTTTCTCGTGTGCGAGTTCCAAGTATTTGTCTAAGCTCGACTTCAAATTGTTCATTTTTGTTGTTAGTTGGTCATTGTCACTAGAACTAGTTGTCGTCATTTTTCCCTTTCGCTAGTCTCGGTCTCTTCTCATGGGACGAGTGGTTCTTGGAACCTCAAAAGGTTCTTCTTCATTGAGCTCAATCGTGACATGTGCATCAGACAATTGACTATGTATCGTTTCAGATGTTTTGATTCTTTTAGAAGAACCACCCATAAAAGTTTCAGAATCGTCAACAACTTGTCGTTATTTTTGACAATTTTACAATATTCAAAACATATGAAATTTGAAATTTGCCCCTTTTTATTTCAGTACATTTCAACAGCTTTTTGCAAAAAATGTTTCGTCATTTGCACCACTTTGCAATTATCGTTTCACACTCGAGAACATCACGTTAAACTTTGTCACCACTTTGTTGACATTTCTCCACTTCGAATAAATTTAGTATTTTTTTCGGTAATCTCCAAGATTCATCTCCATAAGAAAACATCGTATAATTTTCCGAAAAAAAGTTAGACAATCTTAGTTGTGTCCGACCAACGGATCTTCGGAAACATCCACTCACGCATGAGCTAACGCATTTTCTTCGTCCGGTGTCCATTGCTTTGGAACCACCCTTCCACTTTTTTAGGTTGTGGTTGATTCTCTTGTGGCTCGGATTCCATTTCGGGGACAACTTCAGGTTCCGCTTAAGTTTTGAATTGGGTTTGGAAATTGATTGAGGAGTCGGGAAGATCATCAAATGGATTGAACTCGTTTCCGATTTAAGATAAGAAGTTCATTTGTGGTTGGTTTTTAAAATTGGAGTTGTCTTTGAAATTGTGGTTGGTTTTTTAATTGAGATTGGTTTTGGTATTGTGTTTGATTTTGGTATTAAGGTTGGTTTTGAGCTTGAAATGGGTAGTAAACACCATCAAAATGTAAATTTGATGGAGAATAAATAGGTCGATCACGTTGATTTTGAACGAAATTTTGTGAAGAATATGAGATGTTTGAGTTTTATGTGTTTCTTTTGATATTTTTTTTGAGCTTTTGGGTTGGAAGGAAAAGACATTTTTTTCACAAAATATGTTGGGTTTGAGTGAAAAAAAATGAAGATGGTGAAGTGGGATAAAATAGGTGAATAGTTGTGTTTATATGAGGTAGAAGTGGAAGGTTTTTGAAGAAAAAAAAGGGTAAGAAAGGGGCACCCAACGGCTAGTTCATTCAAACCTAACCTCCTCTCTCCTTGGTAAGCTCTAGCCGAGTTGTCGAGTTGAGCTTAGCATGTCGAGGGCTTGGCCCAGTGTTCACCGAGCTTGTCGAGATCATTCCTGAGTCCATATCGAGCAACTTAAGAGCATCTTAAATGGCAAAGTTATGTTATAACTTAAAGTTATTGGCAACTCATAATTTAATAAATTTTGAGCTCTAATTAAATTACACCTTCAATGGTTAACCTATATAATAGATTATTTTACAAATTTAACTAATTGATCATCATCTATATAAAATGTTTCATCGAGCTCCTCCATTTAATTAGTTGTATTTTAATACATCATATTGTTGGATCTATATGCCAAAGAATCATTATAGAGTGATATTGCTAATAATATACGATACTATAGGGTCACACATTTATCATGTTTGCACATTTTGTATGTTTATTATTAATGTGATTATTAATAAATAATATCGATTCTTGTATTTAATTGGGGAATAATTATTGTTTTGTGAGAATAATAATTATAAGAGAGTATTACTAGCTATTATGTCATATGATATGAATTAATAAGTCATGCATAATATTTTGGACTAGTTGGATTCTTTTTTCTTTTACATAAAGACAAATTTTATATTTTATAAACTCGGAGTTTATAAAAAATAAAGGATCTTTCTTTTTCTAAACAAGCATGGCCGAAAGTATAATGGTGGTGTGGGAAGTTGCTTGTCAACCTTCCACCTTTTGTCTCTCATTCTTCTAAAGGCTACCATTACTTTAGATTATTTTAATGGTTAAGCCTTACCTCTCATGGACTATATAAGAGTGTCTTGTGTATGAGAAATGTGCAAGTTTTGGTCTTCTTTCTTCGCATTTCGTCTAGCTAAAACTGTGACTATGAAGAAGCTCCAAACCTTTGCAGTTTGGTGCTTTACTTAGGTGTTTAGAAGACCTATTGAGTTGTTCCCTTTAGTGCTTATTTGAGTTAAGCACTTAAAGGCTTTAGATACTCAAAAATACAATAAGGAACTAGCATTCTAAGTGCCTTACTCTTGATGGTGGATATTTGTAGAGAAATCATACACTTTGATTTTTGCTATCTTCATCAACACCCTAAAACCAAGTTGGTTCAAAGGCTTCTAAGTTTATCTCTAAAACATCTTATGGTTGTTTTCATTTCATTTAAACCTCTATAAAAGGATCTATGATGGTTTGGTTTTGTTATGAACTAAAAATAAACTTGTTATTTTTAAAGTCTTCCATTGCCAGTTTTTGTGAAAAACAAACTTTTATTTTGTATCAAAACCCAACATATATTTCAATAAATATGATTTCTAATTGATAACGCGCCTCCTGGCGCGAGCCAATAGTAGGATCCCTAGGCTAGAGGATTCTCCAGTTCGCTTAGCTAGGCCCAACATGGCCACTCCAGCAGAGCTCCAGTGCCCGAGCGCTCCCTTAAGGTAGGACGCCCGTTCGAGAATTTTGGCCCCATCAATAGCACCCTCTGCTACAGGACAAATATAACGGCTCTAGGTGACAAAGACTATGCTTAGAGCATTATCTCCTGAGCCAATCGTTGGCCCCAACACAATAGGCGACATGATTAGCCAATCAGAGTAACGGATCCTGTCGGAACTACAGTCTTTGTCCCCTATACAGACCAACGAGGATCCTCAGTATAAAAGGACCTTCATCCCACCTTGAAAAGTAAGTGATATCTCTCAGTTCTCATCACTCTCACCCAGATATCTCCCACTGAATTGGTCGTCGAAGCATTTTCCTAGGAACTACTCCAGGAGAACGGCTGACGGCCTTGCTTGTTGTGACTTTGCAGACTCTTCCGATGTAGGAATGCATTCTCAGAGCTAGTAATCGGAGCCAAGGTCGCGTCATTTGGCATCTTCCATTTGTGTGATAAGCAATACACAAAACCACATACCAGTTCACCCACAGAATGACGAACGAAATCGTCGGTGAACCATCAAAGCAACTGAACATCCTGGTACGACAAATGACGTCAATGGAGCCGGCTGTCACTCTCGTGACACCAATAGACCAAGTCGTCACAACCGTTAATGACGCAACACCATCCGGCAGCCCAACACCATCGTTAACGGAGGCACAACCCCAAAACATAGCCCAAAACCAACACCTAACATCCATCCCCAGTAGCACAACACCGTCGGTCTTCCACCCCGTCGGTTGACAAAATATCTTCCCCCAAACCCCATTACCATCGATTTTTCAGACAATCAGCGGCCCACAAAAGATTGTGTAAGTGTCACCGCTAGTAACATACCAAACCACTAATGGACAGCTACCCCTATTGCAAACATTGACGCCCCAAGCGAGCAATGCACCCAACGGTTTACAAACCACGCTCCAAACGTCAATTTACCCAATTTTTGCAGCAGGTGTTGTCACCACCATTGCAACAATACTAGCAACCTCCCGTAACCCAACAATTCACCATCCTGTTCCAACCACAAAGCTTCTACAACCCAATGCCGATAAATCCGGCGGCGTACTGCAACATGTTGGTCCAACCATACTTGGCAATGTAGCAACCTAATCACCACTACACCCAATAAACCCCGAACCAATATTGCCTCTCAAGAAGTGTGACCTCACCACTTGTGAAAGAGCTCCTAGACTACGAGATACCCAACACCGTAAAGTTACCTAACCTTAAGACCTACAACGACACCACATGCACGGACTGCCACATCGATATATAAGATTGGACCATAACATCCCTCAGACTCGACGGGCATTTCTGGTGCACTTATTTCCCTACAAAACTCGACGTTAACACAGGG